AATCATTTGTAATCCATAAGGAAATCAATAGAGTTCGTCAATATTAACGGATTAATGAAAAAAGCAGAATATACCATAAACTTCTATGAAATGGTAACATAATTTAGAATGTTTTATTTTTTACTCAAACTGTTGCAAATCTAGACATTTTCAAATGTAAGAACACTCGAAAACAATAAACTAGGCTACTCAATTTGACTGGTCTCACAGATGCGGCTATAATTACTGTATTATTAAAAGGCAATAGTCTATATTGAGACTACTACTACTATGAGCAAACATAGCTTGCATGCAAATAACACGTAGAAATATACCGAAACGTATAAGAGAGTTAGGTTATGTTTTTCACGTACAAATACCAATATAATTATGCAAATGAGTTAACCGTCGCTAAGGATATGAAATTACAATTATTATGCAATAATCGTCCAAGTGCGAGCACGTTTACCGAATATTTAGCACGGTAATTTTAATCAGTGCATATGAAATAGACACTACACAATAGCACGCAACGCCATTACGTCAAAACACGAAAGTTTCCACGGATTTCGCAAATTAATGCCAATGTCATTCTTCATGAATCATTTTCGTTCTATTACTTGTATATATGCATTCTCTTGTGCTCAATTGATAAATCCATTAAATAATGTAACGTTAACAAATATCACACTCAAGCAAGAATACAAACATTGATCGTTCGATGCGAAATTGTTAAAAATAGTTTATAAATTACAATCTATTACAACCTTGCAATGAATCTCTGCTATAAATAAATCATACCTTAGAAAACTCTGTATATGTTTGTGAACTGTGTTTTACTTGTTCGAATTCTGATGGCAAATTGAACGGGACGCAACAGTAATATACGCTTTCGAATTCCAAAAAATGTAATCACAGCACGCCAGGTGTAAATATTTGAGAACAATTAATTATCATTTACATAGGGACAATACACAAACGATGAATGAAGTAACGATCGAAGCTCTTTCATTCCAAATCGTATCCTTTTCCAATGATTTTAACAGAGCGACAACACTCGGAGCCCGCCGCAGGATCGTCTTACTGCGCACACGTGCAGGCGCAGCTGTTGGTCACCGAGGCGCGCGGCAACTTTGAAATCGCGTAAAATCTAGTTGAATCGCGTTCACCGAAATGAAAGTTCTACCGTGTCCCCGAATGAGTCCTTACGAACCTTCGCAACTTGGTCTCTGCAGGTGGGGTACATAACAACAAGAAGGGGGATGCTGGAACCCATGCGCGACATTCTCTCGAGACATTTAAACTGGAACAGTTCCTGATCGTGTCCAGGAGACGTTGCACCGGTTCCTTAGAGAATCCACGCCACCGGAAGTTCGTTATTAAATGTGGGACTAGTGCTAATGCGGGATCAACCGATTTCGTCTAAACGACAGTGACCGGATTCTTCACGACAGCTGACCCTGAACCCTCGTTGACCATGATGGTGGGTGACTAGTTAATTATAAATTAATTCGTATCGGTGTGTATACGTGTGTGATAACACAAAGATCCATACAGTGTAACGATATGCAACGATCTCCCTATAAAAATGTCACGCTTCCATTAAGAAATAAAGGAGAATCAATCGGTGGTGAGTTTGCATTGTTCTTACATGGCGAAACCAAGTTTGCACGACTCTGTCGCATCGAGATTTATGTATGTACACGCACGGTTCATCATACATTTAATCGAGTAGAATCCTTGACTGGGTTAATCGCTACAAACGTTACTTGTTGACGTAATTGACCTTCGACATTCTTTCCATAACTGACATAACATCGACGAACATGTAATAAGCGATTTTCCTCCATTCTCGCGAAACGCTTTCGTTTCTTTGTTCCGATTATGTAAAAGCGATGTACCGTTTTTTCTTTTTCTGTATTCTTGTATCTTAATCGATACGACGTATACACACGGCGAAACTGTTCGGTAAGTAACAGTAAATTCGTGTACGCTCGTGCTTCAATCGGATGAAATCAACGACTTCTGTTGTCGCATTCTTATCCGTGCATGTTCTCCTCTCCGATACGATCAATAAACTACGCGTGGAAGAGGCGGTTAGAATCTCGTCCGAGACACCTCTAAGCGACGCGTAATGAAGCAAAGTAGGCGCTCCGAGGAAGATTGTCCAACGGATTTTACGTTGGCGTTGGAAAAGGAATGTTGCGCCGCGTTGTTGGTGTTGCATTTGGTTTCACTGCCTCCACAATAGAGCCAGGATTAATAGGAGAGAACCACCTCTACTCGCGAGTGAAGGTGAGCGGAAAGGAAGGCGAAAGGGTGGTTTGACACGCACTGTCGAGCACACGAGTGTCTCTAGCCATTACTATCTTGGGCACAATAACGCGCTGTCAAGCACAAGTGCGCTCCGTCTATGTGAGGATAATGAAAACGTACGATCCGGTTTTGATTGCGATGTGTTCGTTACGTATTATACAGATCAGCTTTCCTCGCCTCGATATTTTATTACCAGCGGTGTGGTTGTTAACCGGTAGCATCCCGCAGGAGTAAATATTATGAGCCTGTACGATTTTCAAGGTATCATTCTCTAAATGATACCTATCGAATGCTGATAAAACCTTATCTACCGTGCTCAATTCTGAGCATTTCGATAATATGCCGAACGACTTGGCGGCAAAAATTTGTTTTCGATAAAACTTGAATTCTTATCATTCATTTTCGGGGAACCGACGATGTCTCCGAAGCTCAGGTAACCCCTGCAGAATTTGTATCGCTCGCAAATTAGCGGCATTCTGGTGCAATTGGTAACAAGAGTGCGCCGCGTTTCACCTAAAATATGAGCAGCGTTTGGACGTTTACTTTCTACGAACGTTCGCGTTCGACTGCACAACGAAATGGCGAAATCGCGAATAGATATCTATGTAATCCCTTGCAAGACGCGCCGCTGCGAGTCATGTATGAGCGAACCAATTCACAGTCATCTATTGCGTATGTCTCTATCCCGACATGCATACACACATAGACACACGTACGGATACGTGTAGACAAGATCGCACGCGTTCGAAGTTATTGCTCTGCATGATCGCTTTCAGATGCGCCGAACGACTTGTCCGATCCGCGAACGGTCCATGACACAAGATAATTGTTTATTTCGGTGGACATCGGCTTCACGTGATATACGCTCGCGGTAACACCCGTGCCGCGTGTCTAACAGTTTGCCTAACACCGGCTCGATGATGTATATCGCAATGACGATGATACACGACTCGGGACTGCAAACAAATCACTACCACCGAGGCTCTACTTACGTCCTTATCTTTGCACACATCTGCAATAACGAGATGTGCTGCAGGATATCAGCCGCGAGCCGCGATTATCGTTTATGACTACCAGATTATCTGATCGCATTAAGTAATACGACCAAGTTGCTGCGAATATGTGCGAGAGATAAGATGCATTGCTCGGTATTTTTGGGCGCGTAAAAATGAATGTTACGGTCTTATAGTTTCGGTTAACTCCGCGCAGGGTCACCATGATATCAGGGTTTCGCAAAGGCGAATGAACCTTTCGGCATTTCGCCGTGGTCAACCGGATCAGCAAGGTGTGGTGATTTTCGCGTCACCAGCCTTGATCTGGATTTATAATACACATAAGTTAAGGACACTTTCTACGGTAATATATGAAAGTAATTTCCCTCGAAATATGAACGCACGTTATCTCGATTTGACGCACGATCCGGTTTCGGGAGGCTGTCCGCGGCAAGCAATTACACATTTGTGGACTTTAATTACAGATGAAAGCGGTGGTCTTCCTAGTTGCGATAGCGGTAACTAGAGCTCTTCCACTCTCAAAGGTGCACGTGAAATTTGTTTCCCCTCCGCACATATACGAGCACGGAATTACGACGGACGGTTAGTTCTTAAACCTTATTGTGCATCGGTATAAAAATCCTACGGCGACGAGTAAAATTAGCTTTTGTTTGTTAGGGGACCGCACGATCGACCAAAGGTCATACATCTCCATCGGTCGAAGGAGTACCACAGGAAACACGAAACAGTTTGGTACGAATTCATTGAAACGATTGTCCATGCCGGCGCAGTTGGTAATTTATTAGTTTCTTTTTTAGGGGAACGTATCGATACGTCGAAGAACAGTATACCTGTATACATTAAGCCGGAAAATGCTGAGGCCTTGTGGCCGGTGGGTGTGTTCTTACCACCGGTGGATATTAACGATCTTGGATACAGTTCGCACGAATCGAGGCACACAACTCCTGATTTCTCTAACGGACTTGGTGAGAAATCACGTGCAGAAGTGGTCTATGGATTCTTAACCCTGCCATGACCTTTAGCGCAACCATACATTTAACACAATACCGAGAAACAAGAAACGTAGAACTCGGTAGCGATTTGTTTCTAGGAATCTGTAATACGATTTAAGGAAGGGAGACTGCTTAAAGATCGCTCGAAGGCTATGGAAGGGTTAATCACTCTATACAATCTGCTTCGTACGCAAAATGCTTTCTGTATAGCATTCAAATCGAAATCTCAAGTTTTCTGTTTTGTAATGTTTCAGCGTATCACGATCCGTATCTATTGACGGGTGAAAAAGCGATGATAGCGGTGAAATATCTTTACGGTCTAGGCGAACTGTTTTACGACAACATTCCACATGAAAGAGCGCTGTTAAAGAACCAAGAAGAAAGAAGGCAAAATGGTCTCCATGACCACATATTAAAGAGTTTGAGGCCGACGTCTGCATTCTACAGGAAACCTCGATCAACCCGCGATCGCTTTATTTATTAGTAAATTTCCCAGCGAACGCCGTACCTTCATAAATGCTATACATTCTCTTAAGGTGAACGCAAAACAAACTTACAACATATTTTCATATTCTGCACGTAATTGAAAATTTGGAACAATTAAACATATCTTGTTATATGGCTGAATTGAATTTCTACGTTTGATACACGATTAAAACATTTCAAAAGTAACAACTAGAACTGTATCACTATGTTTCTGTTTGCCACATGAGCATTAATTTATTGCCTTATTCAACGTAAAACTTAATTAATGATTCACTCGTTAAATGCGTCGGTATTCGTAGGTCGCGTGTAAAACAGATGTAGTGGAAACGTAATGTAAGTGCCGTTATTGTTCACGGACAGTCTGCGGTTAACACTTTCGCAAGTGTGATTTACACAAATTGCAATGTACCGTAATTAATACAGCAAAATATTTTGGCCAGTTCTGTTCAACATTCTGTCAGGATTTATGACGTGAAAGCTGGACAGTTCGTGGTTTCGCCACGATTGAAACACATGAAATACGTAACCATAAATATATAGACATTATATTTTCACAGACTTTACACTAGACTCGGTAACAATACATCATTTTCTATCGTGCGAACTACACGTACAAGCTCAGGAGAATCGCGTCATATACAAGGAACTTTTTATATAATAATATACATTCGTTAATTCGGTTCTAGCGGTCTCAGATGAACCATCGAAGCAGTACGCACAGTGTCGTGACAATCAACCCGTTGGAGATACCCAGTTTCTCCGTTCCGTTGCATAGATCACCGAGGCAAAGGCACATGTACACTTTCTTGTAATTCCAAACGGTGTAAGCGCATCTCTCCTCCCCGTCATCGGGGCCCCGTTGAAAGCAAAGCCTTTGCGTGGCGGTGCCATATTCTACACGAGAAAATAAATTATTTTCAAATACAATGTAATCTTGTATACATTCGAAATACGACCCGGTAAATCGTGCGGCCCTCACCATTGTTCAAGCCGTGCCTCTCGATGATCTTCCCGCACCAACCGGACGCACAGAGGACAGAGTCTACACCTTTTTCTAATTCAATCTCCGTCGAGTTCATAGTGAAAGGATCCTTGCATGATCCCAATTCACCTCTCGATCTACAACTCACGCATCTTCGGAGAAGGCCTGGAACAGAGGGGGGCGATTGATGAATCTCTCTCTCTCTCTCTCTCTCTCTCTCTCTCTCGACTACGCAACTCTGTCGAGCTGATATAAATCTTCAATTTCGTCAAACGATGTCTTAATACACGTACTACGTTCTCGCGATCAACGAAAAGAAAAACGCAACGGTTTGCGGAAAGGATGCGCTGTCCGGTATGCGGTGAAAGTATGACATTGCCTGCACCGTGCGCGCACACATAGATGCAATCTCTGCACGAAACTCACCGGTTGCTCTCTGAAGTAGAACCAGGTTGAGGATTGCGAGCACCAAGGTAACACTTGTCCTACGATTCATCCTATCGCCGAGTCTGTTATCAATTGTCCTTTCGTTTTTTATCGAACCCCTCACTCGTATATAATGTCGAATGCAACAGAGAGACTGGAACGATCAAACACGGCCATTTTGGAACTAAGCTACGACTATGAGAAACGGACACGTACGCCATACAGCAACCAGTCCCTCCCAGACCCTCCTTTCACTCGGCTACCTTTAAGGTCATCAACGTGTTCGAGAAGATTGAACGGAGGAAATCGCTGCAGAGCGAAAGACTCGGTCGGTAAATAAACGTGGAATGCAATGTCAACAAAATATGTTGTAATATATCCGTCGTCGATGTGAAATAGATTAGTATTATACTGTATCAGTTTTCATTGGCAACTAGCGGTTCTTCCTCTTCTTCTGCCCCTTCCTTTACTGTTTTCTTGAAAGAAGTTCGTTGCTGAAATTGGTGTCTTCTGCGGTACGTACGAACCAAGCCGCTGCAATAGCAAATCGAGCAAAGGAAGAACACGAATCCCAAATATCCCAAGTGTCGCAAAAACTCTATAACAGAATGAAAACCGTGCGAATAATTTCTATCGCGTGAGATTTCTGCTTGTTATCCCTGTAAACGATTACATTAGAGTTCTACCTTGCGTCAAGAGTCTAGCATTGGAAACGACAACGATTTTCAGTTGCATCATGTTCACATTATCGACGCTGCACGTGTAGTTTCCTCCCTCGTCGGTGGAAACATCTGATACAACATTATGGCGTGAGGAAGAAGTGTTAATGCTGTAACGCGCATAATTTATTACTTCCAGATACCTATCAAATAAAGCGTCCCGAACACGTCGACGACCACATGAGCGGTCGGATCCAATTTGCGAAAAGATCGACGGACACCTTTTTCCAATGTAATTGAATCCTTTTTCCATGATACTTGCGTATCCAAGCTCGATCTAAATCGCGGATTTCAAGCCGCTTTTAAAACCATTGTATTTGTAGACCTGTTCAAGGACTCTACAAAACAATAAATTACTCCGGACAAACGACGGTTAGGTAAGCTCCTTCTGTGAGCACGAATCGTTTGATGTATCTGAACTTTCTGCCTTTTCTTCTGCTAGCTTTTGTACACTTTTTGCACGGCTCCTTCAAGATAAAGTCTGGCAGGTGTCGTACCGCTGTACTGACGCCGGGAAACTCGCGTTCCAACAAAGTGGATCTTAAACGAGAAATAATATAATCTATGGTAATGAACGCTCAAAATATATCTGTATTAAAAATGTAAAAATACAAAATGGTCCGTATTTTCTTCATCTACCTATCTCGTGCTTCGCTGCAAAATAAGAACACTTACTTGCAAGGCAATAGAGGAGATTTCCAGAAGAATTTGACTATCGACGAATCGCTGCTATTTGCAATCGTCTATAACAATAACAATGGTTTTGCGGCAGATGGTTTTCAGATTTAACGGCAGTGAAAAAGAATTTGTCACTCCCTTCTCACCGTGTTTATTAAGCGCTTTAATCGACATTTTCCGACGCTTGATTTATAGCCACGACTGCCTATACAATGCTCGCACAGGCTCCACGGTGTCCATTCAGAAATTACATGCAGCGTGATTCCAACGTCTCGAATTTCAATCAACTCCGACATTTGAGAGACCTAAATCAAAGCCACATCCGAGTGACAAACAAGAAGGGTAGAAATTTTGCGACCACGAACTGGATTGATTCGGTCTTACGGCAAACCGTGTGGTAATCGCCGCCAGGTAGATTTCGCGGTATTTTTCCCATTCTGTTATGTTTCCTTGCTCCGTGTGCATAGAGATATGGTCTTTGAAAACAGCTATCGTAAAATATTTATTTGAATGGATGCGTTTATGTTTTTATAATCGGGACGAGCGAAAGAATCGTCTTTAGAAATGTTTCACCGTATTGTTTTGGGTTTGTATAACATACTCCGTGATTCTGTTGAATTAAACTTGTAACTGGAATGCGGATTTTATGTCAAGTCCTGTAATACACCTGAAGGTATAAAAGTAGCGCGAAAGCATTTCTGTGTAGTTTATTTTTATAAAGTTATTAATTGGATAATTGCGTTTAATTCTATCTTTGGTTAGTTAATCTTTAAATGTTTTAATTTAAAGAATAGATGTTGCTAATTTGAAATAAAATTTCGTTGAACGCCAAATTAAATTTTCATTCGAAGAGGTTTATATTAGTTGAAATAGTTGCGAAACTTCTTTCATCGATGAAAACGATTCTCACATCGTTCCGACTACAAATATATATTTTCTAAATTTCAAAAATAAATTTCCTCAAAATATTACGTTCGATTCTGTAATTGAATTTGTTTTCAGCTTCTTGGCCTTCCTCTCCGTGGCATAAGTAAATGCCACCGTCTGTAGCTTGAAAATGTTTAATCACTAATGAAAGCTCGGGAGTGGTGTAGATTCTGTTGTATGACATATTATTCTCCATTCCCAATTCGACCACTTTCTCTGGAATTTCTCTATATCGGTCCTGATAATACCAAACTTTTGTTTGTTTCTCCTCTTTGTCGTTGCTGTACGAACAAATAAATACAATAATGATATATCTTTATTTTTTTCATCAATAAGTTCGTATTTTATACCAAAAACGACATTCCATCATCAGCATTGAATCAATTTCAGCGTTAATCAGTAAATATTCATCAATTTCTTCGGATGTGATTAATCTTTCTTTATCCCTGCAGTATTTAGTAACTCCTACGGACTTATCGATCGACAGAATTTGATCGGCACTAGCTAATGGGACGATTAATAATAACCAAAAACTCTTCGTTTGAAACATTTTTGGTTCAATCAATATACGAACTTGTTACAACATTCACGTCTAACTATTTCCATTAACTTGATAATAGATATAAGATCGCGTGAAGTAATATCGTGCTTTTATTTACAAAGCAACAATTCTTTTATCTTTTCAGTGTATATGGAATGCAATTCTTGTAAAATTCATCGAGTTTTAGTTTTCATCTGAATTTGTTTTCATAACGGGCGACGTGTTAACGTAACGTATATTTGAAAAGGTTATGATGACCGCTCCAACATTCAAACCAATTTTATAACCAATCACAGCATTTGGAACGGCGGAAAAGAACCACTAGCGAAATTCACCGCGAAGCGGGCAACTTCGACGGAAATACATACCCATGATGCATCACTGATAGCAACATGGCGGAGTTGATTGAAAGTGAGTAAAAGTTAACTTATTCTTGATAAAATTAGTCTAACAAGAATTAATTAAATAGAAAAAATAGCTTTACGTGAAGGATAAATGTTTCAAGATCTACCATGTCGACACGTAAGATTACTCCGAAGGCTTTTTACTAAATTACAGTTGGTGTTTTAATTGCGCTCAGAAGAGTCTGGTTTAAAATTTCAAAAATGACCAATACACATTTCAAGCGGGACGGCGAAGTTCTCCATTTAAGTATCTATTTTCCAGGCGTTACTTGCCAAAACGAATGCTTTTTATTATGTTTTGTAGCCTTCATAAGGTCAATGAATCCATATCTTTGACTCTTGCTCTAATCAGAAGTACACATACTGTTTACAGAACTACGTGTAAGTTTGGTTATGTCAGACTTCGACTGCAGAACATCGAGTAATGGTCCCTTCTTAGTATTGTATATTTGAATAGTTATTAGTAAATAACATCAGCCTGAAGACTATGTAATAAAAGAATCATTTATTTACAAATAAATTATTATACCAGATAGTAGCAATAAGTGTATACATCATACCCTTTTTACCATTAATGACAGGTATTCAAAAAAATGTAGTACATACAAAGTAAAATCTTATGTTATAAAGTAAAATTGCGAACTAGTTTAAAAAGATTTAAATATGATTTTATTTGAAGAGGTGTCTCTCTATGATGATAATTTGTTAAACATTACATACATTTTAATAAGTATTGCATATAAACTTTTAGATGGAATGAGCGCAGTTCAAAACAGGAACAAATGAATTATGTAGCATTCTTGTTTTATGTATTAACTGATATTTACATTTTATGAATATGTAATATATGAACAATAGGTGAATCGGCTGAAACTTTGTTATCCATAAAAAATGGAGGATATCTAACGATCGATGAAATTAAAACCGAAATAATTGACGATGACACAATGGACATGGATGACCAACAAATTTCAAATAACTCTACGGATTCACATATGGACATAGAGGAATCTGATCCAATTCCTGAACTTGGACCTGCTGCTTTAGGCTTACAAAGAGTAGGCACTCAACCACCCCCAAAACCGAACCCACCTACACAACCTGTTCAAGTTTTGAATCGTAGAGGAATGCCAGCAAGAATAAGAAAGAAAAATAAATTATTTTATGATGATATTTTAGTTAATCATCCTCATCATAGGTAAGTGAAAATCGATTGTATAAATATTGGTTGATCGAATGGATAATTTATTTTAAACATATTTCAGAATAAAAAAGGATCCATCACATATGGATCATAAACAATCTCCTAAGAAAATCACTAGAACATCACCAACAAAAAGACAAAATAAAATATCTAATGAACAAAGAAAAAATAATAATATGTCAAGTCAACCATCGACACCTTCAGTAACACCAATTAAGCAAGAAAAGGAACCTGATAAACCAATGCAACCTTCATCTCCAGATCGTAGAATCGGGCAAAAGATTGGTATGAGATTAAGAAATTTATTGAAATTACCGAAAGCACACAAATGGGTTTGCTACGAATGGTTTTATAGTAATATTGATAAGTATGTACAAATGCTATAAATGCATATACCGATGGTATTTTAATCAAATAGTACCAAAAATTAAATTTTTTATTGCAGAACACTTTTTGAAGGTGACAATGATTTTATGATATGTTTAAAAGAATCGTTTCCTCAATTGAAAACTCGGAAATTAACTCGAGTTGAATGGTGTAAAATAAGAAGAATGATGGGCAAACCGCGAAGATGTTCTCAATCGTTCTTTGAGGAAGAAAGGCGAGAATTAGACAGGAAAAGACAAAAAATTCGAATGCTGCAACAGCGAAAAGCTGCAGATATTAACGGTTTTAAAGATTTACCACCAGAAATACCATTGCAATTGGTAATAGGTACTAAAGTAACAGCAAGACTGAGAAAACCACAAGATGGATTATTTACTGGGAGTATCGACGCGGTGGATACTAGTAATAATACTTATAGAATTACTTTTGAACGTGCTGGATTGGGAACTCACAGTGTCCCTGATTATGAAGTACTGGTATGTGCGCATGTTTTGATAATAGTAAAACTTGACTCTGTCTTTACAATTACTATATATTACTACATATAATTTTTAGTCTAATGAACCACCAGAAACCATAAGTGTTGCTTCTTTTGCACAAAAATTTCGACCGAGACATATACAATATGTACCATCACCACCATATGCAATGAAGCTAATGTCACCACGTTTGAACAGTGATCCATTAATATCCAATGCATCTGTTTCATTACCAAAGAAATCACATATTGGTGGAACAATGAATGGATATCCCCTGAAATTACTTGAATTTATGGTAAAAGTAAATAAAATATTAGCTGCTAAAAAAATAAAAATTAAAAAATTAAAAGAAATGAATAGTGAAGCAGAAAAAAGACGATCATTCGGAGAGCCGCTTCCACCAGATTTTGAAAGAAGATATGCAGGGTATTTAATTAGAGTATAAGTATAAGCAGACATGTATAGTATTATAACTGTTTTTTAATGCTCATTCGTGTTGATTTCAGGATTGTGGTTGAATTAGAAAAAATGAATACTGCTCTCCAAGATTTTTTGAACGACGTCCAAGAATTATGTCAAGAAATGGCCCCAGAACCTAGTGTTGCTGCTATGTTAGCCCCATCACATCTCCGCGAGAAGTGTAAGCAGGAAGCAACAGATATGGTTGCAAAAAATAATATAGTTAATGACAAGGAACCTGGAAAAATGACACAATTAGTAACAGATTTAACAGCTCTCATGCTCCAAGTAAAGGTACAAATAAATAATAGTTTTACGTCAACTATAACTTTTTGGCACTAATTTCTCAAATTTCGTTCGTATTTTAGAGCTTGTCGGATTCAGACCAAAATGCATATGAGTTAAAGGTATTACAGGGGACTATGGAACAAATACGTTCAAAATTGAGTCCACAAAATCAACAAGTTTTTCAAAACTGCGTTGAAATACATATGCAGCATATACAATTAGGTCTTGGACAAAGAGGTGCTTTAACACCATTTATGGCTCAATGGGCTTAGTAAATGTAAAATTAATTTTCATAATATTTTTAAAAGATGTACAATATTAAAACAAATGTAGATTACAATACTACAATATTTTGTAAGAAAACTTAACTTTATTTTATTATCTTTTTGTATAGGGCATATCATTAGTAAGGAGTACCTATATTAATAGGATACCAATGTATGTTCTACTGCAATTGTACATACAATTCTAAAACCGTTTTCAAGTCACTTTCTATATATGCCTTTCAGAATAGTATGCTGTGTTATTAACAAATTGTATAGCGTCAGAATTGTTTCGGTTTCCTATTCCGCGTGTTTATCATAACAAGTCAAGCGCTATTGGTCACTGACGATTTATATGCAGGGACGGGTAGGATATTATTTCAAATAATAAATAATGTCTTTTTATTCTCTATACACATTATGCACACACGTAAAGTTACCAGAGTTTAGCTATTCATTTTATGCGTCAAATCATCAACATAAAGTTGTGTTATTTGTTGAAATTTTTATTTTCATTTAAAATACTATTTTGTCCAAACTTTGTGTCATTTATTACTGTAAGTAGTATATGGAATATTATTGGAATAAATTTTTCCAATACTTTCAACGTGCAGTGTCGTGATTGCTTAGATTTTCAATTGATGTAGGCTTCACAATTCGCATAAAATAGGAAGTTAAATATCTATGAATTAAATAGAATTGATATATTTTACAGAGGTTGCTTTGATGAAATGCGTATAGAAACTTAACTTTAAATCATCACATTTTTATTTTGTATAGTATGTCTTTGCTTATAACTAATTGGAAAGGCCAACATTTAGTACATTAGAATTTCTAAATCTCTATGGTTCTGTATCTTACATGTAAACATTCATGTTTCATAACAAATTGTAAATACATTAAGAAGATTCAGAAATATGCNAGAAACTTAACTTTAAATCATCACATTTTTATTTTGTATAGTATGTCTTTGCTTATAACTAATTGGAAAGGCCAACATTTAGTACATTAGAATTTCTAAATCTCTATGGTTCTGTATCTTACATGTAAACATTCATGTTTCATAACAAATTGTAAATACATTAAGAAGATTCAGAAATATGC